TCAGAATCGAAAGCTGGATGTTGAAGTGTAACTCCCAAGTAACGAGCCTGTAACAGGACTCTAAGGGATAATGAGGATTATACAAGGATCCTCTTATATTCCTATCATACCCTATTATACCACTAGTTCAGGGTGGGGGGGGTTCCTCCTAAGCTATAGATATATATAGATGATACTGCTCCTTCCTCCTCTTCTTAAACATTCAACAAAGTGCGCCAGAAGGCTGCGCCAAGGGGCTTGGAGTCATGAACGTCTGGGTCGCTGTTAAGGAACTTAATTCAAGTTACTATACTGGGGAAACCGTGTTCATTACTATATATACCCATTCTGGTAACTTAATCTAAGTTGCTTAACGGCAATCCAATCATGAACATGGTCATTTCGCGGCTGTTGCTCCCAAATGCGCATGACTGCATTCGGCTAGAGCCGGCATAGGGTTCCTTTTGTGTCATAAACCTAGCACATGTACTGAAGGTGATTTGGGGATTCCCCCAAACTAGGGTACCTTTCTGGGGGTCCCTATAGCAAGGACTATAGTATATTGGGGTCTATATTGGGGTACCCTAATTTTGGGAAACTACCATTTAGGCGTTAGATTATCATGGCCAGCCGTCTGTGATTCATGTTTGGCAACGAAGTTGTGTTGGATGTCCTGTGCATTTAAAAACTTTGGGGGCTTAGACACTTTTGCTGGGGCGTGGGCGTATTCTTGCATGTTGCGAAAAACCTAGTGTACTGGGAAAGGGACTAAGAGCAATGTGCTTACAGCCAGTTAAGGACATTGAGATGACCCCTACTATCAAGTATGGCTACTCATACGAGTTGAGTACACCAAATGTACTCTAGAAAGCCGAGAGGCCTCAATATAAGCTGACCCATAATACCTCAACCATAATCTTGAGGGACCTTGGGTTTGTCTTGGGCTGTCATTCAAAGACGTCCCCCCATAGTGCAGAATCAAATGGAAACAAAGATGGATCGCAAAACATGGCAACTGGGATTTTATTACGCGATTTCTATAACAGACAAAAGCAGACACGTCAGGGATCTCATTGAATACTCCCTACAACAATACTTACACAACATGCAGCACATGTCTGCGCAAAGCTTCCCCACCAAATTGTAATATGAATACCGCCTTGAGGCACACACAAACACACCTCCAGCACATTTTGGATTGCGACTGTGCAAGTCAAGCACTCCCGCGTCATGCCCGGGCATGCTGCAAGTTTGAACCCTAGAGGGTTAGGGTCTATATTCCTATTCGCCCCCCCACACGTAGAAACCAGTCAAACTTGAGACTCCCAAACTTTACTCCTAACGCAAACCTGGCTGGTGGTAGTGGGGGGATGAACAGAAGGATTATTATGAGGGATGATTATATGGAAATTCTGTTCGGGAATCCCCCCCTCCACAAGCAGATTAACATCACGGATGTGATGCGGAGTATTCCCCGCTTGAAAATTGCACGTGAAAGCTGCAACACGTGCGAAAATTGCACACAATCCAGAGACATGAGGACTTCCCAGGTTTAGAGTTTAGGTTTAGGGATCAGGGTTTAGGGACATAGTCAGGGGATCCTAATCTTAGGTTGCTTGTCCTGTCATCGTCCACATCTTCTGTTGTACGTGGTCATCTTACCAGGGAAATCCGAATGTGGGTGGTGCTCAGGTTGCTCAAACGGCTAGGATCCAGGTGAAAGTGGAACATGCCCTTGCCTGTACTGTTGTTAACTAGCCCTGGGACTCTAAGTCTAAATAATACATGCATTGGGCCCTAGAGTCTCTAACCCCAAAACCTACACTCTAAACGCTGTGGTACCTACATGGAGCCTGAGTGTTGCCTCTTTGGTCTCAAACAAGTGTTGACAGACGACATCCTACGTGACCCTAAGTATGCCGAAGCAGAATGTAGCACAGTACTGTCTTTCCTTGGTCAAGGCATATAAGGTCATGGAGGAGTAGCGTTCATTGATGGTAGCTTTGGTTGCGGGTTTAGGAGACTCAAACTGTCACCTTCAAAAGGACACAAGTCTTTGTAGGGCCCTTCTCAGGTTGCGTTCTAGTATGGGGGGAGGCAGCCCCCACAGCTTGAAACAGTAATCCCATTTTGATAGAGTTCCCGATTTGTCTCGGTTTGAATGAGCTTCCTTAATGTGATGCCCTCGCACACGTACTTGCTGAGTTGCCTGGCCCTCTCAAAAGTTTAAACATTTTCTGAGATCATTGGAGTCTATAAGCCAACAAATCTGAACCATACTTCTTCAGCCGGGAAGTTGGCTTTGTGAAAAATGCTGGTACCAACTACAGAACACGATGGAGTAACCATAGGGGATACAGGTTAAAATTATAAGCTGTTGGCGACTTATAGCAGCACATGTTCACCTGTCCTGCTTTCTGTAGAGGATTGCATTTGCGAAGACTAAATCACCAACATCGTTCAGCTAAATGTATAGTCCCCCTTAAGTAGATAGAAACTGGAATTCACCAAATCATAATAAGATCCCCATATACCCCATATTCTATCTACTTAAGGGGGGCTATATCTCGAGCCATAAAGATCCTAGGTGATTCAGTCTCCATGCAAAGGGCGCAGTGGCGCAAGGACTTGGCTTCAAGCACCTGACAGAATTAAAGAAACGGCCTGGTCAGCGTCTCCGTCCGTTGCCCGTAGGGCTGCCCGGGCATGCTCACGAGAGAATCCCATAGCACAGATGGCATCCAGGGCTGCGGTGTCGACCTCATTTTTTGCCTCAGCCTCACCCTCTGCAGCTGGCTCAGCCCACCAATCACTGTCTTCGTAGCCGCTCTCCCATTCCGAAGCTTGCATCGACAGAGCTGCAAGCTGCAGCTCCTCGGGCCTCAGGGTGCAGCGCGGCAGCGGCAGTCCAGGCGGAACCTCGCCCGCGCGCCGTGCGGCGGTGCCGCCTGCTGCAGCCCGGGCCTCGGCCGCCGCGCCTACCGCGTCGTCGGGCGAAAACATGAAGACCAGGCTCATGCGGCCGCCTGCAGCGCTGGGCATTTCTGGTACACCGTGGCTCTGGGTGCCGAAGAGGATGAGGTCCCCATCCTCCATCAAGACCTGGCGGGCTAGCTTTGACCATCAAGATCTCAATCATTTACATTCATAGCGTAGCAGCCGCGACTGACACCCCCAACCTGAGCACGGTCCACCGACAGAACCCTGGGCGCTCCCAAGGAAACCAGTAGGGTCCAGTTGTCATGCCGGTGTGGGGAGACCCGAGACAGCGCATCTGGATACCAGTTCATCTTGATGGTGTACCCTGCCTGAAATGGGTTCATCTGAAAGCCCTAAATACGCCAACCGCTAGGCTACTTCATCTTGGTACCTAGACCTCTCAAATATCCACCCTAAGCAAGTTCATCTTGATAGTACCCAGACCTCCCGATACCCCTTGAGCTGTGAAAGTCCCTCATTGTGAGTATTTGGGAGGTGTAGATAGAACCCGCCTGGAATGGATTGGGCAAGTTGAAGTCCCTCACCTGGGCTGGACTTTCCTTAAAAATCACTTCGACCTCATCTTACACACCCTCCCACCCGGAATTTTCAATATGTCACAGCATGTATAGGATCTCTTCTATGGGGAAGATTTCTGTAATGCGGGGGCGTGGAATGTTTGTATGAGAAGATTATTATACTTACTATGATGGAAGAGCAAACAAAAACAACTCTTTTGTCAACACATGTTCAGCTTTTGTTGACTGTCCCTGCTGATTCTCCTTCTTTTTTGATCCACGTAGCCAGACCTTGTGGCTCAGGTACCAAGACAGGAGGACTGTGACTATGCGAACAATATTCATATTTGGGCACCGGGGGTTTCCATTTTGTTTAGCAGAAGGGTTCTGCTGCTAGCATTGTCCAGAGATCCCTTTTTTAAGATTCTGCCCCTCAGGCGGTATCTTGCTTGGAACTGCCCATCTACAATGTGTGCAAAGCCACCACGTCTGCGACAAGGGCGTCCAGCTTGGGGGAAGCCCCTGGCCTCCAGTGTGCCACCTGCTTGGACGTGGCCTTGTCCGGCATGCGCTTCACGCAGGAGTCGCAGCCTCTTGGTCCGACGAAACGAAGGCGAAGCTAGACAACGGAAGACGACGGGGTACGTTAGGTGTTTCCCAAACAGAGCTAGTATTAGTAAACATAAGAACCCAAAGATGTACAGATCGCGGCTTACCTTTCTGATCTCCTAGGGGGACAAATAGATATTTTAAGCCCCCCAAAAGTCTGCTGACCAGGTAAGCGGCAGTACCAGCTGCATTTGGAACACCACCAGTAGGGCTCCTGAAGGGATTTTCACACTGTCAGGACGCCCTACAGGAATCCATAGGTATCCCTCATTTTATTCAGCTTTCATAACCCCTATATAAGACCCTCTCGTTGTAGTCCTTAGGGATTTAGTTCTACATTTTTGACATTCTTTGGGAAGGGCTCCTGGAGGGCGGAGTCGCGCTGCCGTTTTTGGCAGCCGTCTTGGGCCATGCTGCACTGCCTGCGTTTGAAAGACAGGCGCGGCCAATTGGAAGTAGGGTTTCGGGTTAGTAGGGAAAAAGGGATTATGCTGTATGGGCATTGTATAGGGATATAATACTCCCACATATTCCCTACTAAAAACCAACAAGTTGAATGATAGGCGCGGCCAATAAATGGAGTCCCTTGAACTTGGAGGCTCAGTATAGTTTACCCAAGCTTAATTGTACCTAAAATGCAGTTGTATATAATTAACTTGTACCTCCAAGTAGGGGTCCCAAAGCCCCAAAGTTCAGGATGCTGGCTTAAATCTTAAGTGCTAATATCATATAACCACAGTAATCAGGAAAACGCCTTTGGATCAGGGCTGGTGCCATCTTCGTTTATCTTATAACTTATCCCCATTATGGCAATTAGCCAGATGAGCGATGTGAAGACCAAAGGGAACAAAATAATGTGAAATAATGAACATTGGCAGAACGGTCCACTTGCGACCTCAGGCACCAGTTTCCATGTGGGCGCGTCTTCGCAGCTTGGTGCGCATCTCTGGGTCCGATCTGGTGGGTGTCATCCGGCACCTTCTGTAAGCTTCGACCGCAGAACCTGGGCGTGGCTTAGCGAAGTATGAGGAGTCATTGACAGGGACCCAGACTGACATCCAACAGCACCGCCCCCAAGAGGACGTTAGCATTCATGTCCCTACCTTTTGCTAGGTTGATTATAATGGACTCTCACGAGACATATCTATCAATATGTTCTGCTGCTGCGCCCCGTTGGCTTTGGGAACGAAAGCACAACAAATGCATAGCATGCTTCTACAAAGAAGCCCTCCACTTGGAAAATAAACACATCGACCCGTGCAATCCTCAGAAACTGCTTTAAAAAAAACACCCTGTGCATACTGTAGGGGTCAAAATATTACCACTAGCATTTTAAGGTCTATTTGAGGGACTCTATCCCGTGATTCAGTAATGTAGCGATCTTGAATCAGAATATTGGCCATTATGCAAGCTCTTTGAGAGTCCCTTAGAGCCTTAGAGCTCCGATTTTTAAGCCAGTCCCTCCATTTGCATTTTCACTTCCTTCTCCACTCTTGGTTATTACTTCCCCCTAGCCCGCTCTATTTATATTCAACCTTATCTAAGCCCCTAAACCCTAAACCCCAAACCCTAAGCCCTAAACAAACCCTCAGCCAAGGGGCCCTCTACCCATCCCAGGGCATTCCTTCACTGTCCTGAGGTGCCAGTTGTCCTGTCCCTCCTGCTTCCGGACACGCCAGACCTCGCCAGTTTAGAATTTAGGGTTTAGGGTTTATGCTTTGGGGCTTAGGATTTTCGAATGGGAAGTTGCCTCACAGTTTAGTCCCCCTTAAGTAACTAGAATATGGGGTATATGGATCTTACTGTAATATACCCAAAGTCATATTCTATGTACTTAAGGGGGACTATAGGGTTAGGGGTTTTTGGGGTTAAGGGCGTAGCATTCAAGGTTTAGGGTTTAGGGCCAAGAGTTGCCAAATCCTACGCAACGTAGGTCTCCTACTAAAGTACGGCTGTCTAGTCTTTAGTATGACAAGGCCATGCAGGAGTTCATAACATGCACCGGATCCAGAGCTTTGATTTGATGATGCTGAAGGTTTCACAGTTAATAAAGGTAAGAACCCCTTGCCCCAAAAACAATAAATTCAGGGGGCACAAAAATCCTGAGGAGCACTTCTTACAACGGCAAGACTACTTTTTAAAGGGTGGCACCGAATAAGTGGTTTTTCAATAGTTTTGTACCATTCAATTTTTAAGCTGATTAAGCAGCCACATAAATAAGTAATCTCCGTGGACTAGGCATTCAATGTTAAATTCATGTAATTCAGAATTATTGTCCTTCCATGGAGTTTAGAAGTAATGTAAAGAAATAACACCCCTTGATATTGAATACCTATTCAGGCCCCGGATATTTATTGCCGGGGAGGGGGACGAATATAAGGGGCAAGCGATGAGTATACCCTAAACCCTAAACCCTAAACCCTAAACCCCATCCTACAAGGCTTCCCACGGACCTTGTCTTGCTCCCAGTCCACAGTTGCAACGATTTCCTCGTACAGCCCTTGCTGTCGGGCGTATCCACGAAGGTACGTGACGTCGCAAAACCTTGGCTGTCTGCTACGCATGGGCAAGGTAAGAACATTTCAAGAGCTTTAGGTCCCAAGATGTGTATAATTTCTAGACTTTTGCCCGCGACCTTAATGCTAGACCATGTTTACCTGGACCGTGTGTTGAAAAGAAACTTTTAACCTCGCATGAAAATCAGAGCGCCTCTTGGATACAATTCCCATGCACAGGAAACAAAGCAAACAGAAACCGACTTCTTGCGTGGTTGAGATGATGCGCAGTTGCCAAGTGAAAGACATGCAATGCAAATGGAATGACTGCAGGCATCATGCTAACCTCACGATGTGGAGTGCAAATTTGACTTCGGGTAGCCACTAAAGTCTTTAAAGATGTATGCACGTTGAGCAAGACCAGCGTTACACCAGTAGTATCAAAAGGCGCGTTCAATTTTGCCTGGTCACAACTTGCGTTTCCCCTGCCTAGAAGAATCCTTAGCTTTTGACATGCCCAAGATGGGCTGAAGTACGCTGATCCTGCAATCGTTGGGGCGTCTGTGTTCTGTCCCTCAAAGCCTACACGCCAAATTTATTCTCTCAACTGTTCGCCTTCGCTTTTTTGCTTCCGTGCTTGTAGTCTTGTAGCCGAACGCGACCTGCCAAATATTACTTCCCAAAATAAAGGGACCCCAATATAGACCCCAATATACTACAGTCCTTTGACAGGGACCACCAAAAGGGTACCCCTAATTTTGGGAAACCCTTATAGCAAGCAAAACATGAGGCAGATCTTGAGAAGTCCCAAGATGCCTGGAGCCTGGATGTCCTCTCTTTTGGGGGTTCTTCCCCGGATTTAAGATAGATCCTTGAAATTTCAGGACATCCTAAAAACCTCAAACCTTAAACTAGAACCCGAAAAATCTAAACCGTAAACCCTAAACTCCAAACCCTAAACCCTAAACTCCAAACCCTGAACTCTAAACCCTAAACCCCAGGGTCTAGGCAAAGGCTGCGACAAGAGGCCCTTCTGCATCCCACCACTCCATGCCTGCGCTTCTTCAGGGTTTTGGGTGTAGAGTTTTAGGGTTTTAGGGTTTTAGGGTTTTAGGGTTTTAGGGTTTTAGGGTTTAGGGTGTAGGGTTTGGGGTTTTAGGGCTTAGGGTTTAGGGTTTGGGGTTTTAGGGTGTAGAGTTTTAGGATTTTAGGGCTTCGGGTTTGAGGGTTTAGGGTGTAGAGTTTTAGGGTTTTAGGGTTTTAGGGTTTAGGGTGTAGGGTTTGGGGTTTAGGGGTGGTAGAACCACACGTGACAGTCACCAGCGTAGTCTAACATGGCAGTGATTAAGGATGGTAGTTGTACCCTAGTTACAACTCCTACCCTGCATTCTACATGTTCCAAGATCCTACACCCTAAACCCTCCACCCCTAAACCCTACATGTTGTAAAATCCTTATTAAAGGCTTGAAAGTGGCTCCGTCCAAAACCTTATGCCTGCCCTCCCTGATGAAGCCTTATGCGTTTGCCTAGTCGAGCTACATATACAGCAAAGTACCCTCAAACCGAAACCGCCCAAACAAAAACTTTGATACCTCCCCCCGAGTTCCCTACAACCTCAATGTTGGCTTTCAGGCGTTAGGGTGGGGGATCCACAAAAAAGTCCTCCAACTACCCTGGACACATTCTCAAGGGCACAGTTTTAGGCAACTCAAAGGGTCCTCGGAAACCTCCAAAACCCAAATCACAAAGCAACAGCCCCAACACTATCCGCAGCCCCCAGACATACTCCCAACAGCCTAGACCAATAAGTTCTAAACTCGCGTGATCCCTGAATCAGGTGCTAAACTGCCATCATTCCCACATCCAAGACCCTTACTCCTATACTCCAAACCCTAAACTCTTCATCCCCTGAACTCTAAGCCCCGGATCCTAGCCCGCAAGCGCTCAATCGCCCTAAACCCTAAGCCCATAAACCTCTAAATCCTAAACCCTACACCCCCCTAACCCTGAACCCTGAACCCCTAAATCTTAAACCCCTAAACTGCTAACCCGTACACCCCGAAACCCCTAAATCCTAAACCCTAATCCCTAAATCCCCTAGATCCTACACCCTAAAGACCTACACCCCTAAACCCTGAACCCTGAATCGCTAAATCCTAAACCCTCTAACCCCCCCCTAAATCCTAAACCCTAAGCCCCTACACTCCTAAACCCTGAACCCTAAATCCCTAAATCCTAAACCCCTAACACGTAAAGCCCGAAACCCCCACATACTAAACCCTAATCCCTTAACCCCCTAAATCCTAAACCCTAAACACCTACACCCCTAAGCCCTATAATCCCTAAACCCCCTAAATCCTAAGCCCCTAAACCCCCAACCCGTAAACCCCTAAATCCTAAACCCTATAATCCCTAAACCCCCTAAATCC